TAAGCCTCTATGAAGACACTACTATACTTGATTGAATTGTCCCCTTACAGAGCTTGGGAGTCCAGAATATAAACAAGTCACTCTGAAAAAGGAGAGGGACGGATGAGTTCCCCTCTGTTGTTTTAGTTACCCCAGTGCTTTATTGTAAAACTGAAATGATTTTGTTCATGTGGCAGCTCTGTGTAAATGTTTTGTGTGCAGTATTCCTCCAATTCATGCCAAGGGCTCACTCTGTTTACCACTGTTTACTGAGAGACTCAGGCTACTGTACTGTGTCCCTGCTCTCAATCCGATGTCTCTTTGCTGGTTGTAGGAGAATCTTGTTCAGGAAGTACCCCTGCCCTTGGCTTTGGATGTCAGACACAGAGGATAAAGAAAGTCCCATGTTTTTATAATCCCATGTCTGGGCCTATTTAAGTGCCACCGAGAATATACAATATATCCCGCAAGGAAATGAACACTGTTGAAAGCTGCACCTCGAGACACAAACAAAACAACCTCCCACATTCCACGTGGACAGTGTTTGTTTGTGTGGTCAGTTTGGGATTCATGTTATGAGTGTACTTGTGTGTATCTTTCAAGATTTGTGTTTTCAAAGGTAAGGAGTCTGGGAGACTGGGAGGGGTATGATGGCTCCAGGGATGTGATAAACACATCTACTCCACTTGAGGCAACAACAAACACAGAGTTGTGAGCATGTTTGAATACAGGTAGATGATCTCCCATTTTACCAACTTGCTTCATAAATGTAAATTCACATCGGATATTCTTTCACACATGCATAAAACTGAAGACCAAAGAGAACGTAATAGTGTCGCTGGTTAGAAACCAGAGAAATAAATTAGTTGTGGTTTGATTGCGGGCGCTCTGGGATAGCTCGGCGCTATCTATCAATGTCACTCAGGTAGCCACGGTATCACTGTTAGTGTCAGCATCAGTGCTCCTCAGCTGGTATCACTCACTGGTATCTATGTCTGTGAGGCCGCCACAATTTGACCCTGACCCTGTATCTCTGCTGTTTCCCACACCTCAGCCCCGCGTGTGTATTGTCAGCGCAAACCCCCAAATTCTCTGGTATGTTGGTGGAATTTCGGCTATTTTTCCAGGTCACTGTTGTTTGTGACTTGCGAGGTGTGCCTGTAAATTTCCACACAGGGAGGGAGATAAACACACTCACTGCGTCACATGTATATACAAACCTCATCACATTGCAGACTACACCTTGTACGGGGGAGAAAAACCCAACAGCTAACCATGTAAGTGCATGTGTCCATATAGTGCCTGCGTCAACAACCACGTTAGAGGGTTGATACCGCGCATAGCTTTTCTAACTTTCTCTTTGTGAAAACAAAACTACTTGTTAACCCTCAATGGTAAATATCTGGCTGAGAGCTACCGGTAATAGAGTTTTATTACAGATTAAGAATGGGTGGCAAACTATGAATGGTGTTGACTCAGGTCACTAGTGACAGAAAGTTGATAAAGATCAACCTGCACATGCTTGTTTGTGTCCTTTGTTGCTGCATTTATGAAATGAATAAAAAGGTGGATTAAATTCTGCTTCACCGATAAAAGGGAAAATCCCTGCATCAGACCATGACTTTACAAAGACAGAGCTGATGATGCCACTGCTGTCTTGGAGGGATACTGGTGTGCTGTGATGTCTGCTAAAATGTGCGGTTGTGAACCATTTTAGGAAATGATGGAGCAAAGGGGCCATTTAGAAAGGGTGGGGGTGATGGGGGAAAGGGTTTGAGGGTGGTGAGGGGGCGGTCATTTGCTCATGTAGGTCTCAGTAGATAAATGTTGTGTGTCATAAACCCCCTTTTCCCCCTCAAAGTAGGCGATGCAATTCATACTTTTCCTCTTTTTCATTCTCTACACCCCACAGGTCTTGGCAGGTCACGTAAATATTAGTTTGAGCTCCCTAACAAATCTGCACCCCCCCCTCTGCTCCCACAGCCTCCCTTCATAAACCTATTCCCAACTAAGTTGCACCACCTAATGCCTAATGTCTGACACCCACAGCAACAGATTGAAGCTTATGGATGAGAGATAAATGGAGCGGCTGACACTCTTGGACAAATTTGACTCCAGCACAACAGGTGCTCTTCTGAATAGCTTTACCTCATTGCTGGCGAGCCAAAGAGCAAGCTGTCATTGTGTAGGGGGTGTCAACAGGCACCACATCAGGGATGACCATTCATAGTGCTGAAGGCTCTCTGTTGATACACCTAAACTTTATGACCCCTGACCTCACCAGACTCCCCCTCTAAAACCCAACCACGGAATAAAAAGAAGACCAATGCTGCGCTGGCCCTGAGGGGCAAACTCACGCCACTGCACACCTATAAGCAGGCTTGTATATTTGCGTGCACTCTCTGGTCATGAACTGTGAGTGACGGAGCAGAAAGACTGCTGACATGCTGAGAGCTTCACCAGACAGGTGATGGGTGAGTTTCAGGGACACTGAGTTAATGCGGCCCTAGCCTGCAGGTGTGTACATGTGACTATGTGTTCAAAACAGATCACATGGCTGACACCCGGACCACCCCAAGGTGGCTGTCCAGCAAGATTCCCACCCACAGATGCCTGCATCAGAGGCCTGAAGGAGGCGAGAGGCGGTCTGAGGGATGTGCCAGATGGGACTGGTAATGATGATGAATTGTGGAACACGGTTCAGCTAAGATCTGCTGATAAACATGCCCGCGAGGTCTCTAAGTAACTCTATATGTTATAGACCACCAGTTTGACTCACGGTGTTCCTTCACTCTGGCTCATACCCCTATTTGTTGTATATATCAGCCAAGGCAGGTCCTCAGGACAAAATGTTACACGTGGATCTTTCTCATTTTATTTGGCAGTGCCAGTTCTGTCTTGCACCTCCAGCATTTCCTGATGGTGTACTTGCATGCATGGATGTGTACGTAATCAGAGTGAAGTTCATTCTCTATTCTCAGAGTTGCTGTCATTTGGCAACCAGAGCTCAGACTGATATGCATAGCAGCCCTGACATAAGGTTATAAATCACTAAGTCACTGTCAGCTCTGAGACACTGAAGTGACTGAGGGAAAGATTGTAGACAACTATTAAAAAAAGGCCTCTCATGCTTTGTGATTGAACCTGAGAGTTTCCCTCAAAGGCGTAAACTATTCTCTACTCTCTTCTCTTTTTTATTCATTGATGAAAGCCTGAAATGTGGAACCATCACCCCTGTTTCATTAAAAAAGTCTGATAAAGACAAAATGGTAAGATGATAGCCAATAACTCCAGAAAAGGATATTAAGACCCACCATGTTTTTTTACAGGGCCAGTTTTAGTGTAAGTTGTGGGAATTCTTAACCATACATGTCTTGTGTTTAATACTGAACCACAACCACAAATCAGGCTGGTTTGTCTTTAAAAGGAAGATAATTAGAGTAAATGCAAAAATCATACTTCAATGAGAAGGTAACAGTGGTCACAACTTGACTTGATCTTGACCCTTAAACTATGCAATCAAATATCTAGCACCATCCTCCTCCCCCTGACAGCTTCAACTGCAAACTTCATTGCTCAGCTGAGATGATGCAGTCAAATCAAAATATGACTATTTCAGAATTGGGCATATTGTTTTTCTCCACTGAATTGTTTAATGTTCAGTAAAACGAGAACAATGGAAATTATGTTTGTGAAAATTAATAATTTCCGGCACGTATGGAACATTTCAATTAATAATTTGTTGACCCATTATTACCAATTGAGCCATTGGCGACACTTGAAAAATGGGATCATGGTAAGAAAAAAAAAACTAAACTCAAATTCATCCTCTTGAGTTGCTTGATGCCATTTCTGTGCCCTCTGTCAGTATGATCTTCCTCTCCTTCTTCTTGCCTGTAACACTGCCTATCAGCTGCAAAGATGAATGCTTTGTCTTTTGATGTGTAAAAGGAATGCACTCAGCCTGGCATCCAGGACACAGACAGACTGCAACGAGGCATTGGCACAAGAATAGTCCTAGTGACTGGAACAGCTCCATACTATTACCCTGAGGGACAATAAAGCTTATCTTATCTATGATATTGGCCTCTCATGGCTACTAAAGCCCACTTTTGGTTCGGATCAGATGAGGTTCAAAGTATGACATGTGTGGTGTATATGTCATACTATGGACCTTGCAGTACTCCAAAAAATATCTTATAGTGGTTTAGAGAACTCAAAAGAGTAATTTCATGTCAGCGCTACCTCAGTCAAACAGGCCTCATCTTTCCTCAGCCTGGAAAAACAGAAATTATCTTATCATCAGGAGACAGCTACAGTGAGCCGTGTGAGAAATTTATAATAAATACTGTAAACAAATTGTTAAAGTTTGCTCAGAAACAAGAGCCTCAGGCTTTCTTTGCACATGTTCACACACTACTTGAACCTAATTTCGATCCTGCTGATGATATCCTGTAGAATTAATATTTTCAGGAGTCTTTGGCGTCTAATGGAGCAGAGACCGAGTTGAAGTGTGGGGAGTAGAGGGGGCTGAGACTGAGAAGATTGCTGGAAAGTATTCCCTTTGATAAGCTGGCCAAGAAGCCTTTGATTAAATGTGGTCCCAGCAGGAGCCCACACTGGATCCTCTGTGGCACAACCATGTCCAATCACCAGCTATCAACAGCCCCGGGTAATTACAGTCATCTAGTCATTAGCCTGGGACCCACCTGGAATTCCACATAGCAAGGGGTGGGAGAGGGCCAGCAAGGGTTGGGGTTTTAGGTTGGGCCTTTAATCAAACACTTCCCTCCCATTGACAGATATAACACACCCCACCCAATCCACACAGAATCAGCCTTTGTTACTGACTCTATGGCATTATTAGTATTCTTTTTGTTGAGGAACAGTGGCCATGTGTGTGATAGCAGTGACACCTCATGTCATACTCTTACTGGCATGAAACAAATATTCAGCCACACAGATTTGCTCCATCTGCTCAATAGATAACTATGTCTAAATAAAAAAATCAAAGATACTAATGTCAAACCACCATATATTTCATATGAACATCTGTTTAGATAAGGCAATATACACAATGTTATACAAGCAAGCTGAAGAGCAGAGAAGCGACATCTGTCAATGTTTTGGTTAATGTGTGACAGAATGAAAGTACAGGCTTCAGTTTTCTTTGTATTATTCTCAGCAGCAGGTTGTCGTCTTACATGCTGGAAAGTAGAACAGTAATGGGAGTGCTCTTTTTCTCTCCCCATCTCAGCTAATGTAGTGCAGTCTCATCTACAGATGAGAAATGAAACAACACTTTACAATTTAAATAATTCACTTTAAGCGGCTTTCTTTTTTTCCTTTTTTCTTTTTTGTACAGTTTCATTCAAAGTTCCGATGACACATCAGTCCGTTTTTTCATCTGGTGTCCATCTCCCTGTTCTCCGATGGTCCTTTGTTTGGACTCCTGTTCGGCCACATATGGCCAACTTTATGCTAAAATGTCCACTTCTCAAATTGCACTTCAAAGTCCAACCAACTAGGATTTTTGTGTTTTTGGTATATAAAAGAGTATTTTCCCCCAAACAAACTGAAGCAAAAATGTGAGTATATGATGTTGTAATAATACTGGATATGTCTTAAGGCTCAGTTAATAAAATTTGTCTTTAAAGCATCATGAAAGCAGCAAACCATTTTAAACCCAGAAGCAGGAACAAGGACAAAGGCCTTCTGAAGTGAACTGGTGATAAACGCCAACTGGTATCTCTGTTCATCTGATCCCAGCAGTTCAATCACAGGGCCATTCACAAACATAGGCTAACGGGTAGGAATTCATATTGATGGGTAATGGATTCTAGTGCTTTCACAGACAGGTAGAAAAGCCATGCAATGATGAGACAGAGTGGGGGAAGAGGAGGGCGGAGACGCAGAACACTTTTGGACAAAGTTTCCCATAATGCCATGTTCCACAGGTTATCCTGCAAAGGGGAAAAGGGGTGGGGCTGCATTACAGGGGGCAGGGGAGGTGTGGCCTCAGGTTTGATCCAGCCACTCTGCTCGTTTTGGAGCTTTGCACGTGTGTATGTCCACAGCTTCCTCGCAGTCCTTACACTCCACTGCACAGCACCATTTGAACTTGCACTCGCACTTGGTGATTTGCTTGACTCGCGTCGTGTCGTAGCCACGCCCGCAGCACATGACCTCACAGCTATCTGTGCCACGTGATGTCTTATTGCACACGCGTCCAGCCGTGCCCAGAGAACCTGCGCAAAGGGTTGAAAAGAGTTAGCCAGGAATCGATAAACTTTTTCAAATCCAAAGCAAGTTTATTGGTTATTTCATGTCTCGCTGCACAGCTGTTTGTTTCTTTTTAAATGACAAATAGCAGCTGTTTAAGTTTTCAAGTTTGATGGATTGACTTGACGATAGCTTGTCCAAGGATTTGAATAATTGTCGGAATAAGAAGAAAGCAAATGATATCTCAATCTGAGATTCAAATAGTCCTTAACCTCCTTAATCCTTGTAGCTGCATCAATTAGATCCGAGGTCCTCGAGGGCCGCTGTCCTGCAGGGTTTAGAGGTTTGCCTGTTTCAACACACCTGATTCACATCAGTGTGCCATTGGCAGGCCTGTGCAAAGCTCAAAAATGTCTCGAGGAGATCCAATTTAATCATAATCAGGTGTGCAGAAGCAGAAAAAGGTCTGAAACCTGCAGGACAGCAGTCCTCGGGCACTGGAGTTTGACACTCCTGTAGAGATGCAGCTACAATTAAGGAAGGCTGTGGTCTCAAAGCATCTCACTCTTTCTGAAATTTACAATGTTTCTGGTTACCGAGATCTATGACTGATCTGTCATAATCTTTTAAATCAGTACAAAATATATCACAGTTCCACTTCTATTCTCACTGGCCATTTCCGGGATGATTGACCTGTTTATATGCAATGTAATTATGCAATATGACAGAATCTATTACCCTGTCTAAGTTTAGGCATTAACTTGTTTTTAACTTGAATTTCAACATCATGAAACTAACATCACTGGGCAGATGATTTTATTGCTTAACTGGAACTGTTCCAATCAAGAGATGTATTGTCAAAGAGTGTGAGCCTTATGCATATAAGCAGGTCAGTCTTCTTATTCTCAGAAAGTGGCATCAGCTTAGAATTTATTTAGTTGGAGAGAAATGTTTGTTAAAGTAGTCGGAACCAGAAGTTACAAAAAGCCTGATTTTTACCACGGCAGTGGTGAAACAGCATAACATACCAATCGGCAGTGAGGGTTTTTAATGCATCTTAGTGTTTAGCACTCTGACTATTACCTAATGTAGTGGCACATTGTCTGTGTCTTATGTGAATCTCATCCCCATAGAGATCAGAGCTCATGTTTGGTGTGAGAAGCTCCCTGTTTGAACTGCTACCTATCACAACAAGCTGCCCACAGAACAACAGACCCACACACACAACTATGCAGTGTTGGTAGAGTGGCCTATAGTTACACTGCCTTTCCCAAGCCACTGCTCCCTTTGAAGCACCTCTGTTTGTGTGTGTGTGTGTGAGGGTTAAATGGACAGTGGAGCGTGACAGACAGACAGGCTCTCACACTCTGAGGCCCACTCTGCCCTCCAGCTACGCTTAGTTCAGACAGACAGAGAGGGAAAAAGACTGTGACAGACAGAGAGAAGTGACTTTTTTTTAAATGAGCTGCTTGTGTCCCTAGGCTGTGGATTCCACTGAGAAGGTGAGAAAGAGGGGGAGGATGAATGAGGGGACACAGTAAGAGGCAGATATGGGAGCGGGTATGAGGGGGAAGTGAAAAGAGCTTGTGAATGATGGAGGAATCAATGTCAGTTATCTCGCCCCCCGACTCAAAAAAAGAAAATTGTCTTTTCACCCATCAAACAGCCAATTAGAAACAGTCACATGTAATTGGGTTCACCGTGTAAAGGTTGATCAAGACATCTTCTGACCGCGGGGTTATGTGTGTCTGTGTGCGCTGACAGAGACTGACAGGGGTCAGGTGGTCATGGAGCGATTATGTCCTCAGGGTACAAGGATATTAGCTTCCACAGACATCACAGAGGAAGGCCCGCTGTGTTATCTGACTGCCATTACATGCACACACATACACTGACATTTACGCACAGAAAGCACACTACCCATGCATGAGCATACACATAACATACACCCCTAAAACATAACACGGTCAGGGCAATCCATCAACAACCATGAGAAACTGCTCCTCTTGTCTTTCAGTCTGCCCTCTTCTTCTCCTCCTCTGCTGTCTTACCTGCTGCTTTGTCTTGCAGGCAGTAATCCGGAGAGTTCTCGAAGTAGACCAGGTCGTTTTTGGTGGCCTTCCTGAAGGCCTTGTTGGCCACCGTGAAACCTGTCCCATCCTGGTTCATCATCACTTCCACGGCACCGTTGTACTTTTTCCTCAGGTAGTCGCCAGTCTTCCTGAAGTCCGACATGGCCATCCAGCATGTCCGCAGTGTGCAGGAGCCGCTCACGCCGTGGCATTTACACTCCAGCTTCATAAAGCGCTTCACTGCCTAAATGAAAAGGTGTGGACAGTTAACGTGGTTTCAGCCATTATTAAATTGTGTTAATCACATTATCAAAAATGCAGCTCTAATTGAAGAATACTTTTCAAAGTCCCGTTCAGCCCATTTGTGCAAAAACCCACATAATTTCATGTTACATTTAGAGGTGTACAGTTTTGGAGATTAATTAGTATTTTAGTTTAAAGTTCTAGTGTGATAAGTTATACTCTAAGAATTCAGTTGCCACTGAAAACTTGTTGTTTGCACTGGAACTTACTTCTGCCAAATAGTCCTTAGTGGCAGTGATTTAGTAACTTCTTAAGGTTTCAGTCACACTTTGTGTTGGCAGAGCTTCAGTCTCACTAAGTATCAAGTCTCTATCTCTAACAGAGAAATGTATCTGTGCAAAGACAAATTCATTTTCCAGGAGCACAGTTCAAAACGATCTTTTCCAAAATGTCATTGCATTTGTTTTTGTGAGGACTCCTGAATTCACTCAATCTGGATAAGAGACACTTGTTAAAGCAATACGAGTCTGGCTTCTTTGTTGGAAAATATCTCAGTACTAGTCATTCCAAGTTAAGTCTGTTTTGAACTGTGTGTAAAAAAAATAGCGAAATGAATCTCCCTTAGTTAGACACTTTTATTTTTGTAATTTTGCAATATGTGTTTGAATCATCCAAAATTGTGCGGATTGTATTTACTTCCAAGAGTCCTTCGTCTTTTGGAAATAAGTGTTTGGTTTTAAGAAAAAGAGATAGAAGAGCCAACACTTTGCTGCTTAAAGAAATCTAATCAGAAATAGTTTTGAAAGGTCTACAAACCTCACTTTAATGTAAAGAATTTATAACAATCTTCACCACTAGGAAAGGCAATAATGATTTATGAAATAAAAATTCATATGTATGTATATTTTCAATTTAAATTTGTTTCTATAAATCTTACAAAAGGCAGAGAGAATATGATCACTTCCACCTTCTTCAGCTCATCATGGTCATGGCAATTTGGGAATGGTTGACGTGACAATGTCTCAGAACCCAGATTGATACTATTTGGATGCAGAGGATCTTTCTGATGTGGAAAATGTCAGCCATTACTTGGAGGACTAAAATATGAATTCCACCAAAGAGTGAAGTGATATAATGGTTTAGCTCTACCTATGATCATTTGTTATTGTTCTTAATGACAAGCCTTTTTTTATTACCACCATTATCACATCGTTTTTGTTTTGAAATATCTGATCAATATTACAATTGTGTGTTCGATAATCAATTATTAGGTTTTTCTTTATTTAAAACTTATTTTGTCTTTATCATATTGAAAAAATGGTGTAAAGAGTTGACCATTTCTTCAGTACTTGTAAAATCTTTATCATACCAAAGTGCAGACTTACTGTCCTGCCACAGCGGTTGTTGTGTAGGTTCATGAGGGCCCGAGCATCTCGGACAGTTCTCTCTTTGGCATCGATGAAGGCTTTGGCAAACTTGATCCCATAGTTGATGTTATCACTGCAGCCGCCCCAATCGAACTCGCCTCGATCATCCCTGGCTCGTCCTCGTTTGTGAGGGTCGCAGTTACACGTCTTCAGCTCCCCCTGACTGCAGGCCCGAGTCAGCGCGTACACAACTCCCGCCGAGGAGATGGCATAGACGAAAGCGGCTTCCCGACTGCCTGGGAGGGAGACGCAGTCAACACAAAAACCAAAAATAGAAATAGAGGTTAGACTGAGACAGAGGTTAGAGTAACAAAATCTGTTTCTGAAAACAGACATTACACTTACTCTCATAATGCCATACAGAAGATTCTCTGAGAGTCAGAGATGGAGAGCTTTGCAGTCAGCATGCTATGAATACAAGGATACACAAAGTGCCATGACTTGAGAAGAACTGGGTGTGAGCCTTGAGGACACGAAGGTGCAGCTGACAGAGCATATCAGACCTGATGTGGAGAAGAGGCCAGCTCTGTTTTAAATATTATCATGGAAATAATCCTAGCTGTGGGCCTCTTATCCACTCACATAAATTGTTTAAATACAGACACAGTGATACCCCATTTATCAGCACCAGGGTGATGTCATGACAACATTATCTGCCTTTGCTGTGCTCATCTGTTCGTTCCTTGGTTCCTCAGAGTACAATCCCTGTGTTGTGTTGCCAAAGAATTGGAGTGAATTAGATATAGTATTTGGTCACAGCAGCAGCTCTGGAAGAGAACGACCAAAAAATACAACACAGCAGCAAGAGGCATACGAACCTGTTCACCTTTAGTGCCTATGACATAATATATGTAATACAATATATAAATGTGTATATTTAAATAATATACACACATACAAACGCACATATATATATGTGTGTATAGAGTAAGTGTATTTGTTTGTGTGTGTAGTTAAAGTGTTGGAGTAACGTTGGTTGAGGGAAAAGGCCTTTCTTAATTCAGCTGCTTGGCTCAGTTACTTGATTGTTACGTGTGTCTCTCTGCCAAGAGAAAAATTCTTAAACTGCAATTACCCATGAGATCTTACAAATAGGCGCGCTGCCCTTTATGATTTTAGCGACAGCTAGGCCCCTGTGCAGACTTTTTGAGTAAAACATTAACAAGCCTCTCAAAAATATGAGCTGCATGTTGTGAGTTTACTTCATAAATTTGTGGAAATGTGTGACTTTTAATCTTTTTGATGACTTGGCAACCATTCCTTTTGTACCCGCAAACATCAATAACAAACGAACATCAAGCTGCACGTCTCCCCAGTGTTTCTCATCAAATCGTCCCAAATTGGACAAGATAAAGAATGTAATTATAATTTTATAAATTTGCCATTAAGTATAAACATCTAAATTGGGGAGTGTTAATCATATTTTGGGACAATGACAATCCTAAAGATAAAAAATGTTCTAAAGGCCTCAAGCTTATACTGTGTATTTCTGTCACACTTCCTCTAAATTCAGTGAAAAAACCTCTAAGACGCTTTAAGAAATACCTTTAAAAAAGTTAACTTCATGACATTTTAGTTAATTTTTAATGACTTTTTTTCCACTCAGTCTTTTTATTGTCTATGCAGCATCCAAATCACTAAATGCATTTTTCAGAAGCAGATTTAACTTAAGAAAAAAATAAACCTTGTGCATCAACTCTTTAGGTGACACACATTTGTTTAATGACTTATCACAACTAATTATTATCTATTGCAAGCAGAACACGTTTGCGTTTGAGGAGTGGGTTCACTCTTACTCTGCAAAACTGAAACAACATGACAAGGGAAAGTTTGAATGCTCCAACCTGCTAGTTCTGTATTTACTGAAGTGTTTCGTTTAATCTGTGAGGCAGGGAGATGGGTTCAGTGGGTGCTGAGGGGCTGAATGTGGGGGAGCACTGAGCAGGGCATCACTGGTCATCTTTCAAACCTGCCCTGTTTGTCTGACAGTGAGAATATCTCTCTAAATATTTACATCTACATTATTGTTTATTCCTCTCCACCCCAGACACACACACAGGCACACAGACATAGGGTCAGTATCTCCATATCTGCTACTTCTCTCCATGCATTGCCGGCCCCCACACATGCTTGGGATGGCTTGGATGAGACAGTAACAAGTGGTGAATAGTCAGGGATGCCGGATAGACAATTTCAACAAAGCCTATATCTCGCTGTTACAATGAACTGCAGCAGATTAGGCTTCAATTCCAATATCATGCTGCAGTAAATGAGCCATTAGCTGCTTCCATATTTTGCATCAATGTTGCATGTACACAGGCACATCTACGCTTAAAAGGAAACACAAATACTGAGACCTCCTATGATAATAATCCCCCTGCATTGTTACTAGAAAAATGTAATAATACATCAATTACTTAGAAATAGTTAGTGCTAAACTAAATTCTACACAGCGAAATTCTACACTGCAAATATGCAAACCTAACAGAAGCCCAACCAGCAAAGTACTCTATTATTCATTTATTGCAATCTGTAGTTCAATTCTAGTTTAAAATGAAAGCATTTACGAGAGATTTATTTACATTTAATTATTTTATTCCTGTAAACTGAGAACACAGTACAGGATATAATATGGTTAGGAATATTTGCATTGAATGCTTTCAATGCTCTTTTTTCTTTAAGAGTGCATAACAGTTTACCATAAAATGGCCCAGCAATTGCAAAATATTGTTATGATAAAAATAGGTTTTATCATAACTTTATATAGAAGGTCTTCTGTTTAAAAGACTTATGCAGTTTATCAGCATTGAGCTTAAGCCTGCATTAAGAAAAAATTTGGAGAGATACACAAGTACAGAGTCAGGATCTGTAGTATGAATATAAAAATGCAACTGTAGAAGTGTGAACGCTCAACCGTATGAGCCACAATGTCGGTCAGTCTCCCAAAAATGATGAGAAATTCACATCTTGTAGCCTGTGTATTTGCTCATGTGTTTTTTCTCTTCAGACCTCACAGCAGTCTATTGGTGACAATAGACAAGGAACACCAGCATAGGTAGAGTACAGTACAGCAAGATGAGAGAAAAAACACAGCAAATGAGAAAAGTACCATTACAAAAAAGAAAGATAACTTGGTAAAGGAGAACAGAAAAAAGGCCCATCATCTCTGCCTTTTTGGCCTCACAGCCACACTGTGACACACACTGACTTACTCCGGAGCAGGACTCGTCCGAAGACGGTGTGGTCGCGGTCCAGAGTGCTGCAGTTCCATCGATGGTGTCTGAACTGGTGCTGACACTCTCTAATCCACTCCTTGGTGCCTTCGCCGATGGCCTGCATTATGTCGGGGTGGCGCTGACAGAGCTGACGCTGTTTGTTGACCAGACCAGGGATGTTGTCACAGATCACACGGGCCCCCAGGGCGCCGATGTACCTGAAGGGCCCACAAACAAAGACAGCTCCTTTTCATTTGAACAGACAACCTTTGTGACCTGTTTGAGACGTCACGGGGCTGTTGGGATCGATGCAATTTTGAAGTGAATTACCACAAGTAGTTCTCGAAGTGAGAAATAAAGCAGACGGACAGTGGTGAATGGCATGAAGAAGAGCTACAGTAAAAGTCCTCTCTGAGTCAGAGTTCACTACACTTAACAGTTAAAGGTTTGCGAGTTGGAGGGGAGTGGAAACCATTTACTCCACTCTCCAAATAAATAAGCACTTAACCTCTCCCCGCAAGACCTGTGTGTGTATGTGTGCTTGAATGTTTCCCAGTGGGATAGTTGACATGTCGTCACAAATCAGAGCAAAAAGTCTGGGGCCTCCAATAACCGTGTCAAACTCAAACCCCATTTACTCACTTTACTCCTCTCTCTCTCATTGCTCTCATCTTGGCCATAGGTTCCTCTAACCTTTCTCCACATCCTAGGAAAACAGACTTTTACAGTATGTGGAGGATAAGAGTTTGGAGAGAATGCACTTCGGCAATGCCGTGCCCCTTTGTGCGTGTGCGTGAGAATTCTGGCTGCCCGGTGGCTGAGGGGCTTTTGGCGGGTCAGCGGATGGAGGCCAAGGAGCATGTAGCTGTGTGGTCATGTTTTACGAGGCCGGGTGAGAGGATAGAGATTGGAGACTCAATATTCCCCAGAGTGGAATTAGAGAGGAGGAAAAAAGACCGGAGTGCTCATCAAAGGAAAGTGCCAGAGAGGCAATTCACACTTAATTTTCTCTCCCTGACTCTCAGAGAACAAGAAGGACTTGTAGACTTTATAAGGTAGTAAATCATTATCCTCAAGCCTAAAACAACATGTCGTGAAGCCTGGATCACAATTGTAAGGAATTTAACAAAGAAATAGTAATCAGGGACACTCTTTTAGACAAAAGATAACATTTGTGTTTTTAAAGGAGATTTAAAAAAAAAAAAATTTCTCTGTTATTATTAATACAGAACTATTTCTCTCATATCTTCAGATTCCCCACCTAAATTAACTGAATCCAACAGGTAACTACAAAAGTTTTTATGTTTTCTTTTTATTTAGGATAAAAAAAAAGTTAAAAAGGAATCATGAATCAGAACCACTCTTCAGTATGTTCTCTACTACACAATATTTGCTTTTGCAATAATTAAAGAACATTAATAACACTGATATTAAATAAAATATATTTTCATTAACATTTCTTCTTAAGGCTTTTCAACTCCATTTATATTGCCATCCCTATAACATCAAATACCTCGAACATTTTTATTTCCCATGATCTATCCAAAGAAAATACACCCAAACATCTTAATTTCGCCTAAATTTACATCAAAGCTTCTTAAATTCAGTCAGATCTTCAGTTCACACTATCTCCGCTGCTCCCCATAACTGATTTTAATCTACACAAACTAGTAGGCATTCCTTCACCATCATCCCCGCCCACACACAGACACCTCTCCTATAAACACACTCACACTCGTGGAAATTTAGGTTCGAGGAATGGGTTTTTTTTCTAGCCCCTTATTCTCTAAATTGATGGTTAGAGTATTTTATTGAAGTCACCCCTCTGTGTGTGTGTGAGAGAGAGAGGCGTGGTGGTACCTGGTGTATTAAAGCCTGCTCCAGCTGAGCTGAACACGCGCGCTCAGCCAACAGGGCCGACATATATTCAACTCATCGGTTTGTTGTTATTGCTTTGCATGGCAGGCCAGCAAACTGACACGCAGTTTGGTCGTAAAATCGTAAAGAGCTCAAGTCTCATTCACAAACTCATAATTTAGTTCATTTTCTGCACTCTGTTATGTGTCGGGGCTAATTATTTAACAGAAAATCATTTGAAGTGAAATTAAATTATGACAGAAAAACACTTATTCATTATTCCCTCCGTGCCATATGAAATTAATCTTTTATGGCGAACGGCAGCACATGCAAACAAATCGTAACGTCTTTTACGTTTTTTTCAACAAAAATTAACAACAATGCCAAAACTGTCTGCTGGAAAATCGTTAAAATTGGTTTTAATTACTAATTTAGAAAAAGTGTCATTAAAACATATATGTTGTTATTAGTTGACTACTATAATCCATAAAACTTCCAAGGTAGGAAAAAAAGCTCCAGGCTTCGTTAAAGTGTCCCATTTTTAAAGACAGATTAAACACCTTTTTTTTTTAATGAGAATGACATTGTGAAAAGGAATAGTTAAACACGTCCTTCTCATAGATTTCCTCAGTCATTTGTTAAAAAGTGTATAGTAAATTGTGGTAGGTGAACCTCGCAGTGATGGATGCCCACTCACCACCATGAAGAGTCTACCCGAGGCGTCACGAGCAGCAGCAGCAACAGACACGCACAATAAATCCTCGAGCTGGCACCGGCGTTCTGACATGAAGAAGGCTTGGATGAGAGTTTGGATCCCGGAGAACCACAACGCTGAATCCGTGCTGCCCGGAGGCTGAGAATCCTGTTCAAACCGAGCATGGCTATTCTCTTCTTGTCCCTTTTGTCCCTTCCGAAGGATAAATATATATATGTCTATATCTAATTAGACTGATAGATATATAATTCTTTGCTTCAACGTGACCAGGTTATCAGTATACACTTATGCAGCTGGTAGGCCTCATTATCCAGAGTGTGACTCCATGTTGCGCGGCTGTCAGCGGAGCGAGGAGCGCGTTTTTGGAGCCATGTGCGCACCAGACTCTCCACTGAGAACTTCAGGCTGCCAACGGGGGGCTTACCTGACGACGCGAGCAACAAGTGTGGGCAGTTTCGCCTCTATTCTCTTTTCCCTGGTTACTTCTCCTTTTGGTTTTTACTTATGGCTCAGAGCTGGAAAGAGTGCCCGAATCAGACCGGGAGGCAAAGGTACAGGCTGACCGTCTGCTGTTCGATTTCTCTTTGCCTGGTCGGATGCTCGCGCCGGACCTCTCCTATATTAGAGCACGGTGGATAGAGCACGGTGGATAGAGTCCGAGCTGAGGGAGAGAGGGGGGAGAGAAAGAGATGAGGGAGGGCTCGCTGCTGACAGATCCCGACGCTCATTGGGCAGAAACAGGGGTTACAGAGTTTGACGAGGAAGGAGATATTAAAAAGGGATGAACTGATGAAGAAAGATGCGCGTGTGTGGATGGCATGATGCTGCTGATGAGAGAACGCTGTGTATTTAGTTTGGTTCCTCTGTAACCACATAGAAAAATCATAGAAATGAGTTGATGCTGTCATTTTACAGCTCACAAATAATCACACGATGTAATGACAAATAATGTTGGTTTTTTTCAACCACTATTGACTCACACCATGTAACCTCACATAGTTGCTACGACAAATCCAAATGATATACTCCAAAAAATAATCATTTCAAAATGATGGCTTATTCTTAAAAAATCAATTTCTATTGATTCAAATTAAATATATACAAAAAAAAACCCCACCAGACAAATTTTAAACATGCACCGTACCTGACAATGATTTTATGGATGTAAGAGGTTCTTACAAAATGCATGTTTCATGCATGACTCCAAGTGCCACATAAGGTGCAGCAGAGGTGAAAGTCTGAAAGTAAAGCAGGGAATGTGGGTTCAGATAAACGGAGCCAAATTGTTCAGTGGAGCAGCACTATGCCTAAATATGAACCACATGTGTTAGAGAGAGAATGCTGAGACAGCGCTGGAATAAAATACACACACACTGCTGCAACTATCCTTACCTTTAGTCCCATGTTTGTTTGTGAGTTCATCTTGTCTTCAGGCTTGGCTGTGTGGTACCATCAATCATCAAATCTTCATTGTTTCTCATCCTTAAATGACTCCTGACAGATTAGAAACTCTTCTTAAGCATGGAAAACCCTTTACAAGCTCCAAATTAATAACTTAATAAAACCCATCCCTTCTCAATGACAGATCCTGGAACAGTTTTATCATCCCAGAATTGAACCTTTACAGCTTGTGACATTACGTAGAGAATGCTACAGTTCATTCAGTTGACCCCAATAACACTAAAGAACAAGTAAACAAAACGAAAATCCTTGTCGGAATTGAAACTATTAGAATTAGCAAAAGCTGTTGCAAAGTACTATTTCATCAAAAGCTTGAGAAAACAGTCCCAGTGTTTATGCTAAAGCTAGTGTTAAAGCTAAGCTTCTTTAAAGACTTTTGGGTTTGTGCTTAAAGGTCTCCATGCAGACTCAGACTGAGTCACATTTTTTTTTATCTTTTTCGTAGGAGAATGAAAGCATATACACACAAACCTGGTTTATGAGAGGCCACAAAGTGAAGCATGGAAGCCCAGCTCTGTTGAATATTTGTGCACTGCAGCTTAGCTCGCAATTTTCTGCTAAATCAAAAGGAATTAGGGAAGCACAAACACGTCTGAGTTATGCTCTCTCTCCTGGGGCTGGAGCTAGAACTGGCTTTCTCTCTCTGTCTCTCTCCGAGCCTGTGAACTTGACCCCAGCTTTCTCTTTATAAACAATAACAGAGTCAAGTGCCTCCTTGTCAGATGGAGGAAAAGTTTGTCCTGATGTGCAGGATCCAATCTGGCAACCATCTCCTCAGAGGAAAAATACTGATGGGGCTGCTCTATCTAAATACTGCAATGAAGTAAAAGAGGGATAAAAGAGAGTCCGGGGGGTTTGAGCTAATCCAATTGATTTTTGTGTTGATACATTGTGATTACTCTGGATTACTTCCCATTGGTAAATTGCATTTAGGAAAGGGACTGTACCGGAGGCATGCGCTTGAGGTGGAATAGATGGACTAATGGGCCAGTAATGTGTCCCCTGAGGGGATCATGTTGTGGGATGCCACCAGCATGGCAGTCCAGATATGAGCTCAGTGTGTATTCTCATATCCTGGCAGGCTGGAGCAGAGAGAACAGCCCATCGTCGGACATGGCTGACTTCCCACACTGATGAGACTCAAAGTCGTACAGGCACAGAAATTAGGCATGCTGCAACAAGTTAAGAAAGGGCTGAGTGTTTTATACTTTCAGTGACATTTATAAGTATTCCATGTCAATATGAACTTTTTAAGTTTAAGGTCCAAATAAATGGGAAACATCCTGTTGACATATTCTGTAATACAGACTGACTTAGGCTAACTTGTTCAATGCAGACTAAGAACAAAGGTCCCATCTTAGTTCGAACCTTTTCATAAACCGCTTGTCCCTATGCCTCTATTTTGGTGCGTAATTTCTTTTGTTAGGTAGCAGTGGTCATCTAGCGAAGGACCATTTGGAAAGCTAGATTGTCAATAAATGTCCTACTGCAAATAGGACACTCAACCTCCATTGAAGAGAGGAACAGGGCCAAGTTGTAGGGCAAGGACTCTCAGTCTTTTTAGTTATTTTGAAATTATAATGCTGAATTCACAATGAGACTCTTGACTCTTGTCAATTTCTCTGGTGCTAACCTAAATATGAAATGCTGTAGATATTTATTAGTAGTTCAGGTTGCTATATTTGTAAGGATGACTTCCATAGGGCTGTCAAGCCACTGTGTGTAAATAAGATTAAAAAAGAAAGAAATATGAGTAGGTAAGACAAAGTATGTCTATATTTATGGGCTGATCTGGCATAACAATAATGGGGCATTTGTTTCTGTGCCACCCAAAAGAATGATGGTCTGAGCCTGGCCACCGCTGTAAAAAAATAAATAAATCTGGCCTCAGCACTGGACCGGCACAGAACCTATTTTGGTGGAGATACTGAGCAAAATGCAAGAATGTCCCTGGCAGAGTGGAAATGTTGTAAATTTTGTTTTTTGTAAATGTTCATAATCAAAAGAGTCAGGCAGCACCTCCTTATTGAAGGAATCGATAACTCATCAAACTTGTCATTTTCACCGTGTAAGTCGCAGCTTGGTTGTAATTTTCAGTAGCAAAGTTCATTTTGAAAAGGGTAACGTTTAGAAAGCCGAACGTTAGGAGATTAGTGGCAGGCATGCATCAGAATTCAACTTGTGATGAGTCAGGCAAAACCAGAAGTGGTGATTTATTTCACAGATGTTATGATTTTTTCTCACGCTGATGGTCTACTTGCTTTTATCCTTCTTTTGGCCTGTTGTCTTCTGTTCACACTGTGAGTTAAGAGTGTGTCCAATTAGCATTGTCCTATTTATGTCACTGCCCATCACTCTTTCCCTGTGTAATTGACAAATCACCATGCCAAAATCAGCATGCCCAATCAAAATTATTCACATTTTTAAAAAATTGGCTAAACATAATTTAAGCACTGCCATTTCGACAACTGTTTTAAGACCCCATAGGGTAAGGGATGATTTGAAGGCCTTCACATTAAAGTTCTTTGTTATGTCTATCTATCAAACCACCCAGGCATAGTCCTAACATGGACTTGGCACCTACTTCCTTCTTTGCTCCAGTTACAGCTTATGCGGCTGCTTGAAGGTTCAGGCTAAAAAGAGATACATCTATTCTTCTTCATGTTACACCCCAAATATACATTCCCTTGACCATGTTAAGTAGAATACAGAGTTTGACAGCACTTTGCAATTAGACGATACAGGATTTTTTTCTTACAACCAAGTTTTAGTTTAGCTAGACAAAACTTAGTTTATAGACAGGTTATGTTTGGTGAAAAAAAAATCTAAATTTAGACAGAGGGAAGTGGATGAACTTTCTATTCTGGCTCATCCAACATCATTTCAAAAGATTATTTCTCGTTTTCATTCATTCAACTTACTTTTTGTGTGACATTATACAGATATAAGTAACTTTAGGCTGACATATTTTTATGTTTTTAAAACTGAAAACAAAAAACTAATAGCCAGAAAGCATGATTGTTTGATTATCATCTAAAGGCCAAAATATAGCACAGACCCTAAAAATATATGGCAAACTTAAATGGACAGGCAAAAAGGTCTGTGCCAGAGAGCTAGAACTGTGATAATTTATTGTCTTGTAAATTTAGATCTGACAACAGAGACGAAGTGCCTTGAACAAACTGAGCGGTTCTGGAACTCCAGAAATTTCTGAAACATTTGGCTGGCTTTCAGAGAAGGTGTCAGAGTCTTTTGTAAACTACTTTCCTGCCAGTGCTAAGGGGTGCACCAGAAGGCATGCACACCAAGAGAAAGTTTGCGCCTGCACACTCGCAAACCTCTGTCACAGGGACACACATTCTACATCATGTTACATCACAGTTGGCCTCAACAGGGATAAGCTCCACATACTTCTGAGCCTTTCTTTCTTTATCCCGAGTCTGTCATTAATGGGTTTTATGACACTCGTGAACGCACAGACTCAGAGGATGTAATGGTGATAACTCTATAATAGAACTTTACAGTGTCAATGGAAGATGTTGTCAAGCTGTCAATGTGCACATACATTCACGGATATTGAGCAGGTGACACAGATGACGTCAAAGTCATATCCAGGGAAGCATGGCCTCTTTGATGTGGGACACACACACACACACACACACACACACACACACACACACACACACACACACACACACACACACACACCCACGCATACATACATACATAATAATGAATATGATGAATGCATTTACCTTTGTTAATGCTGGTATGGATGCCAGGCAGATTTACAGTACAAATTATGTCTTTGCTATTTCTGTGGAACTAAGTTTGTGCTGAGTAGTTTCCTGTTTTAGTAGGGAACTGTCTGCGTGACGCACCCTGCAGATCATGGGCAGATTGTTCATGGTGGCTGGCTGAACATGCATAGTGGACAATGAATCAGTCAAATGAACTGTGAGGCTGTCAAGTCTTCTTTTTATCCAAAACATGTTAAAAAAATAAAGAGAGGTTCTGATAATATTTGAGTGCTAAGGTAAGACATAAGGCCTGATAAATCCAAGCTGCAATGACACTTAGGCAAAGCTGTGAGCGCACACAAAAATCACAGTCAAAAGCGCAACATTAAGGACTCACTCACGTATAATCAGCAATATTTTCCACAAATGTCTTTAGTCATAATCGTTTGGATGATACTCTGATCTCAACTGGCAAAC